ACGCAAAAACAAACCGCTTTCCTTCGAATCATACATATTTCAATATATGTTATTCCAACGACTACGAAAATATGCCTTTAAAACTCCTTCAAACGTTAATAATATTCTGTAAATAAAAAAAAATTACTGTAATCATGTTCCAAAAGTTGTATACAATACAGGATTTGCCTATAAACAAGTTATAGCGTTCATTTAATGACCATCATGTGCAGTATAATTTCTTTTTACAACTTACATTCTGTTTTTTCTTCTTCTGCTGTTTTCTCCTTGATTGGATTTCCGAATTCTGTTTTATTTGCAAGTGACAATGTTACGTTAAGATTATAGCCACCAAGAAGACTAGGGCCGGTATTTATAGTCGATTCTTATTTCAAGATCGTCTTAAGTAATACCTTAAGACTTTAACGCAGCCCTCTGATTGGTTCATGACTTCTTAAGACGTACTTAAGACGGTCTTGAATATAAGATCTGACTATGGCCGGTATTCATAGTCGATTCTTATTTTAAGACCGTCTTAAGTAATGTCTTTTTTTTTCTTCTGCTGTTTACTCCTTGATTGGATTTCCGAATTCTGTTTTATTTGCAAGTGACAATGTTACGTTAAGATTATAGCCACCAAGAAGACTAGAACTTCTTGGTTATAGCTCACAACCGATGCGCGCATGCGCAAACTTTGGGACGATGCTCAGTGAACTACTGAGCATCGTCCCCAACAGGGTGGGGACGATGCGCAGTGAGCTACTGAGGCCGTGGTCCGAATCATGCTGACAACGCTCATGAGCATTGTTTGTCTTCGTTTAACATTTGACAAACAACAAGGATGAAATGATTTTTAAGCGTTGTGAGCGTGTATCGGACCGCGGCCTGAGTATCGTCCTCAACAGGGGTTGGGGGCATGGTATAAGGATAAGGGTATGCTCACGCGCATGCGACCAATCAAAATTGTCGAAGTGTGACGTCACACAACAAGCGGTAAATTTAAAACTGCTGTTTCCAACCAACTTATGTTAGCAGCATTCTCGTCAGATATTTTATTTTTATTTAAAGTTTACAGGGAAAAATACGTTTTGAAATAATTTAAGAACTAATGAATACCCTGTAACAAAATGTAACATAAGTAAACATTACAAACTCAATAAAGATAGAAGAATTTATTATGAAATTTATTATCTTATATTTAATTTATTTATCATCTTATATTTAATATCTATTTCTAATATTTCCTCTCTTATGCGCAGGCCCTAAGGTTACCCTTTGTGGGGATAGTTAAATGTCAACAATAATAATAACACGTATATACAAATGTTATGAAAAGGATTTATAAATTTCATTAACTTTTTTCTTTTATTCTTATATCTATTTTCTACAGCAATATTTTATACTGTTTCCATTAAGCAATTTTGTTTTGCGAAAATAATTGCCACAACCTTTCACAGAACAGGACATTGTGTATGTAACACCGAACATTAATATCGTGTCAAGCATCAGGAGCCGCCATGTTTTCGTTTGGGCGGTCTGATTGGCCCCGAGAGTGACGTCATACTTTGACTGCGCAGTGGGTATCCACGGCGTGAGCATACCCTTATCCTTATACCATGGTTGGGGGTAAGCAGCGGGTGACGCTCATCGACATCTAGAATGGACCGCTGATGGCAATGGTGGGGGGTAGAAAGACGATTAGAGTGAGAGGCAGGAATAATAAGATCGTTCTTTCTCTGTTTACTGAAGCCTGATTGGTTGTTGTTTATCCAAAAACAAAACAGGCTAGGTCCTGCCTCTCACTCTAATCGTCTTTCTACTCCCACCATTGCCATCAGCGGTCCATTCTAGATGTCGATGCTGCTAACTTTTAACATGGTGAAAATGTGAGCAATCTCACGGGAGTTCGTTCGGCAAGAAATTTCTTGTCGAAATGGTGAAATCCGAAAGAGAAACTAGTAAGAATAAGAGAAAAACTATAGCAACGTCACAGTATATACAGTAGCGCAACTCTCCCGATTTTATGTTGGCCAAAATGGAGTGCGCATGCGTCAAATAAGCAAGTTGCCCCGTCTCATTTCCTCCTTTTTTATGCTCTCTTTCTATTGAAATGACCGTTTCAATGTTCCATTTAAAGAGCTGAGAGTAGAAATTTGGAGGGAAATATAACGTGCAGTCGTACATCGTCCATTTAGCGAAGTGTTGTGTAAGAAACCTCAAGAGACTAGTCTCGTGAAAAAGTGAAATAAAGTGAAAAAGTGAACAAAAATAAAGAAAACCGAGCAAGAAAGATTTCTT